GCGCGGGGAGCTGGACGTGGTGAGCGTCCCCCGCGGGGACGTGGTGATGGTCCGCGAGGCCAAGCAGAGGCTGGACCTGTCCCGCTACTTGGAGAACCAGGTGTTTCGCTTTGACCGCGCCTTCGACGCCGCCGCCACCAACGAGCTGGTGTACAGACACACGGCCCAGCCGCTGGTGGAGACCGTCTTCCGCCGGGGCACGGCCACCTGCTTCGCCTACGGCCAGACGGGCAGCGGCAAGACGCACACCATGGGGGGAGACCTCTCGGCTGCCAGCCAGGACTTCTCCAAGGGCCTCTACGCCCTGGCGGCCCGCGATGTGTTCTGCCGGCTGCGCCGGCCCAGCTGCGAGAAGCTGGAGCTCCAGGTCTACGGGGCTTTCTTCGAGATCTACGGGGGCAAGGTGTACGACCTGCTCAATGGGAGGAACCGCCTCCGGGTGCTGGAGGACTCCAAGCAGCAGGTGCAGGTGGTGGGGTTGCAGGAGCAGGAGGTGGCGTCCGTGGAGGATGTCATCAAGCTCATCGAAGTGGGCAACAGGGCCCGCACGTCGGGCCAGACCTCGGCCAACACGCGCTCCTCGCGGAGCCATGCCGTCTTCCAGATTATCCTCCGGGCCAGAGGGAATCTGCATGGCAAATTTTCCCTCATTGATTTGGCTGGGAACGAGAGAGGAGCGGACACGGGGAACTCGAACAAGCAGACCAGGCTGGAAGGGGCTGAGATCAACAAGAGCCTCCTGGCGCTAAAGGAATGCATTAGGGCCCTCGGGCACAACAAAGCCCACACCCCGTTCCGGGCTAGTAAGCTCACGCAGGTGCTCAGGGACTCCTTTATCGGGGAGAATTCCTGTACCTGTATGATCGCTACCATCTCTCCGGGGCTGAGATCTTGCGAGCACACCCTCAATACCCTAAGGTACGCCAACCGGGTGAAGGAACTGGCTGTGGATAACTCTCTCAGACTGCTCCGCTCAAGCTTAGCCAAGTCCCCATATGAACTGGATGACCTGAAGGAACCTTGGATGATACAGAGCTTGCCCGAGACAGACGAGTTCAAAGTGCTTTACGTGCAGAAAGAGGAGGAAGGCGCTCCCCACCTGTTTACTTTCGATGCCAGAGGGAAAGCTCAGAAGAAAAGAAAAGACCTTGATGAGAGGGCGCTTGTAGAAGAACACCAGGAGTCGCTGCGGTGGTTGAAGGTGTTCCTAGAAATAGCCGAGGAAATAGATTACGACGTGGATTTTTATGCTGCCCAGTTCGAAGCCGTCCTGGGGCAAAAGATCGGTATTCTTACTGAGATCCAAGATAAAGTCAAATCGTTCCGCGCGATCCTCTCTCAGGAAGAGCTGGGTAATAGTCAGGTCGGCACGAAGAGGTCTCGTGTTCTGTAAGCCCAGGTTGAAGGTCCCCCTTCCATTAAGAGGACAATTGTAATGATGCTGTGGCTCTGACCACGCAACAACACGAATGCTTAAAAAAATAACTTAAAACATGTCTGTGGGGATAGCCTGTTTGTTTCTCTTCTCAAATGGTATTTCATGGAAGCATTCTTGTGATGTCTCCAGATGCTTTTTCGCTGCAGACCACAGAACCATGCTGGGTTTAGGGGCCGACCAGTAGGGAAAAGCAGGAAGTCAGAGAAAATTAATTTAATCTTGTGTGTGCCGGTCTCCTTCCTCCACACCCCCACCTGTCTTTAAAATATATATTTGTACCTTGGTAGCTATGGCCTATTTCCGGCATTCTGTCAGGTTGCACCTACTTAAAAACAGCGAGTTAGGTATTTTGAATGATTTAAAAAGGTGTTAGAGTGCAAAGCACCGTGGTTTCCAACAATGATACTTTTGGGAAATGACGGGTTTTTTGTGCATAGCTTTTTTTTTTTTTTTTTAGAGTATCTGCTCCTTTTTCTTTCTCCGACTCGCAACTATGTTTTTGTGAGGTGTTTCACAAGAAAAAAATCCCTTCCTTCACAAAAATCTGGCCCAGGGACCAGACAGTTGACTGGCCTATGGGGGAAAGTGCAGTGTCAGAAAGGGATGCCTCTTGAAGGTCTCTAGAGGGAAGCAGAGGGAGTCAGTGCCCTGTATGAAAGGCCTGAAGGAAGATTTGTGAAACCAAAGAGTCAGAAAAGCAGCATTCACCAACGCTGTCTCTGATAACTGCACTGGACTGTGATAAAGGAATAAGGTGAAACATAGCTTCAGATAGTTGCGCCATCCCTGATTCAGAACAGCAGACACTGTTCTCTGTATGACACGTTACAACGCACTTACTCTGCAATGTAGAAATGTAAGGTGTGGGGCATTCCT